ACACTTTTTTTTTTCCAGGTGACTGTTCCAGTTATTCTCCTCTGTTTGTTGTGCATTGTAAAGTTGAATGTCAGATGGCAACTCGTGTGACATCATGGCCCGAACTTCGCTCAAACTAACCATGGCAACCAGACAAACGAACAACAATATTCGAGATTTTACCATATCTACAGTGAAATAGAATATGCTAAAATCAAGAGAGATATGCAAAAGTGCTGGATCGGTGAAATATGTATGGAATAATGTAAATGTAATGTAGTTTACTAGTTAGACGCCCTGGTTTCTACAGGTAAGTAGATATTAGTAGTATAATACTTATTAGAATAATATACGTAATAAATATGCACACAAAGTGGACACTGTGCCATTATATGTATATTTTATTGTTCCCCCTTTTTGTAACGTATTGAGTAAATAAAGAAAAAGGTAACGTGTAAGTAATAACGTAAGTTATCAATAGCAGTGTACCCACGAGTTGGAAAATGTGTGCGCGGTTGGATTCTTGTATGACTATAAACTAGACGGGGAATGACACAACGCATTCGAATTTCGGACACACATGTAGTACACACTTACGTGAACATTATTTATCGTGTTCGTAGCGAATGATCGAACACCACATTACCAAATATTATTTTAGTGGAAAAATGTTCATGAAATATAGAAATAAACTGAATGTTTTATCACATACATGAAACGTCATTTGATCGAGCCTATTCTTCAAGTTATGACATCCTAACGTCGACCGTTTGTTATCGCTGGTAAGATTATTTCGTGCGTTATTTAACTGTATCTACTAACTACTAATTAGGTACAGACTGGAACTACGCATCTGGTGACAGTGATATATCATGAAGAGTAACCACACAGATCGATTATTAAGGTTTCTGGATTCAGTTTTAAAATAGGTGATGAGGGATCGGCGGACTCATTGTGAACCTTTTAAAAGGTCGAATAGCATCTGCAGTTCCTGTGTGTTCCAGATTTGTTAATGACTGCTTTATTGTTCAGTACTCTCGTATTCTACCATAATCCTGTGTCTTATGTAGAGTGATTTATTTCACTTCGATTATGTGATGAATGTCAACACAGTCTGCAAAATTAACTGTTCTCTCAGAACAAATTTGACTGTCGATAAGAAGTTTCTTTAATCAAGCATTTTTAGAAGGAATGTGTTCTTTCAAAATGAACGTGCTCAATAGTGAAACTTGCACCTTAAAGTGGCCCATAAGGCTAGTTTTATGTATTTTTTAGGTGCTACTCCACCAGCAGAGATAAGCAGATGATATGTGAGTGAATGCAACGACTGGTCAGTGATCACACACAGATTTTTCAGGTGCGCCGTGTACATTCTGTTCGTGGTTCCTGAACTGATCATCCGTCCATTGTCCATCCACGCAAAAGTTACATAACCTACAGACTCAGCAACCACGCTGTTTTTTTTTTAGAAAATTCGCAAAAAGTTGAACTTTCGAAATTCTAATACTGCGGGTAATGATATCATTTTTAATTTAAACAGATTTAAAAGGTCAAACAATTTGTCAACTCGCATTTGAAGGCAAAGTTGTACTATTCTCTCTGCCCATGCCAAAACAATCTCTCCTGCCTTCTCATAATTCCTACGTATATTTTGTTTTTCAAATTAAACTGGTTTTCTTAAGAACTAGGAAACCGGGAATAATGAAAGAGCGCATTCGTATTAAATGATCATTGTTGAGAACAAGAAATTTACTAAACAGAACGGAAACCGTCCGATTTCGAAGGTTCAGCAAATTGTTAGTACCATAGAAACTAGCCAAAAAGAAGTATCACATTTATAAAGCAAACTGTGTATATACGTTTAACAGTTCGTTTACACTTGCCGAGTCTGATGGAACACAACTGGATATCGGCAGTCAAGCGGCGTGTAATTGTATATCCACTTCATAGCGCATATTGTTTCGGTAGCGCGTGTGCTCTTCCTTATTCTATAACTGGTTGAATGTTATTTTATTGCCAGTTATTAGCTGCATATCACCAAACGTAGGGCAAATGTATTTGAGCATAACATAATAAAAAATATAACTGAAACAGATGTCTACTTACTTCACAATATCTTCACAAATTCAGTTGTGTTTTCTGTAGTATGATAACCACACTGGGTGTACTGACTGAAATGTAATAATATAGCCTGTTTATATCTACATATTCATGAGATGTGTATTTTCGTGACATAGCCGTTTTGCCGTGTCACTAACCATTTATAATACCATGTCAATCATATTTAATAATTAGTAAAATATGAACATACCCTTTATTCCATTTGGCAAATATTGTTTCTCAAAAAACACTGAGGAATAATTTCGTATAGTGTAATGTTTTCTAATTTATAAATAAAATAGCAGTGTATTTTTTCCATTTTATTAACTGCATTGAATTGAATGTTATTTTATTGCCAGTTATTAGCTGCATATCACCAAACGTAGGGCAAATGTATTTGAGCATAACATAATAAAAAATATAACTGAAACAGATGTCTACTTACTTCAAATAGGACAAATATAAATCAGTTCCTAAAAATACTATATTATGATGAACATGTTTGCAAAACACACACAGTACGACTGAAATTACATCTTCGTATACTGTTCAGGCGCTATGACCTCCACAATATTCAGACCCTCATCACGGTGACCTTCACCATGTAACAGTGTCTTACTATGATTCACACTATGAACCTCGATGTATG